CAGTTATCGTTCTTTTGTATAAACTTTAATTAACATTTAAAAATTAATGAAGTAATTGAGTGTATCGTACATCGGATTTAGCATGGATATAATGACTTTGCACATCGGCAGCAATTGCTGTAAAAACACCTGTTTTTGTTCCTTGTAACTCTTTAGGATTAACACCTGCATCGACAATTGCTTCGTAAGTATGTTCCAATAACAGTCTGACCGTAGGCTCTGTCATCAGGGCTTCAAGGGTGGACATATCGAAAAATTGTTTATCAAACTTTTCTATGTTGTTGACCTTACCGATTCGATAAGGCATGTTAAAGCCTGTATAAATAGAATTATATTATTTAAGTATATTCATTATATACACACATATTTATTTACTATATCAGAAATAATAAATGCACCCAAATGTCTTCAAAAGAATTTGCAATACACAAGGTATCATGCAATACGCGAAGGGCAGACGGAAAATTTAAATAAAGCGAGGCAACTTGAATCGAAAAGTCTTATATAATTTTGCCAAATTCTCAATAGTTTTAAGAGTAATAAACAAAAACGTCTAGGCGAAGGAGCGCACGAGAAATAGTAGGTCGAACTCGGGAGGCATACTAAAATGTCTTGTGTGCCTAGTCTTGTAGCAACGGTGAGAGTCCGATAGCGAGAGATGGGACGACACGCTGGAAAAAAGTTGTCACGCAGCGAGCGGTGAGCATCAGATGTTTACCGTTCGACCCTTACCATTACGAGACCATAGTGTTAACTAGGTCCACTCTTTGTCGGCCCCTTTAATCTTTACGATCCCTATCACGTGGATTCCGCCATGTCTTTGATTTGCCTAATACTTTTTGAGATCAAGTAACTTTCAAGTACGACCTCTAGCTAAAACTAAACAATATATGGTAACAAGCCAATGTGGGTCACAAGGCAAGATGTAGGTAGCCCAACTTGCAAATCTTAAATCTTTCTGAAAATCGTGAATCTATATACCGTTTCTTTCCACATTAGCACTACGCGCCGATTTCTTTTCCGGATATAACGCAGTTTATCATATACGTGGAAATATTGTCGTCAGCAGATTCACGTATTCGATTCGATGATTATTTTTTCAAATGCAATTCTCATTTTTCTGATGCTATATTTAGCATTCAATCCCCTCCTTCCCCCCATTTGAGATATTCAAAAGAAAATTTATAACTTTTTCAACGTTTAGCTTATAATATCTCGATAACTGTTTGTCGGAGGGAAAAGTAGTACAGGACTTTTTACTTGATTTAGTCTCAGGAATATGCTGTTGCAATGGTGTTATACCCTTATGAAAAAATACACTCAATCATGGCATACGTTGACGGTCCGAAATAACCATCAAATTGAGTGTAAACCTTCATAATTGAGTGTTTCATGAAGGTTTACACTCAATTTGATGGTTATTTCGGACCGTCAACGTATGATTGAGTGCATTTTTTCATAAGGGTAATTATTGAAAATTTTTGTGTATTGTAACACATAACAGGTCTAAGGCTGTATATCTTAATTTCAAGAAAAAAGTTTAATAATTACACTTATGCCACCGATCGTGATCGCTCAAACCAAGATCTTTTTTGTTGAAAAGATTCTCTTGTAGCTCTTTAAGATTGTCGCTGTTAGGAAATCGACCAGCAATGCCAGAGATAACGATTTCTTCTTCAACGTCATCGTTGATGTAGGAGTTTGCTCGATTCATAGCACCTTTATTTTCTTTGGAATAAATAAATTCTATAACAACATATCATTACGCAAATGGCAATGAAACATTCAAAGTGTGACTAATTGTAGGTAAGTGTAAGCTGCTTTACTTACACTTTTAATTTATTGTCTCTGTATTGTCTTATTATCTAATATATTGTCTCTCTTGTCCTTTTGTTACATACCCACACAACAAGATGATAACAGAAGGATCTCTTAATGCTCTCTCATTTAAGATTTGGACACCCAAAACTACCTTCAGAAAGACAACATAATGAAGTCAGAAACAGCTCTTATGCGCCACTTGCAGAGAAATAAAAGACTTCTTTCAAAAATCTTCGGAAAGATATC